TTTTTTTCCTTGCCAACTTTCGTTGGTCGATATTTTAGTGAAGAGTTAGTGTAAGATGGTTGAGATTTGCGGCAGTGTAAGTCTCGAAGTGACTTGTTTTCTTCACCAGAGTTGAGAATACGATAATAAATTTAGCGGATCTCTTAAATAATCATGAAATTCCGAATTGATCTCTCTTGTCAGATATTTTGCTGAGATAACGGTATTTTGCTGTCAACAACAAAATTTTATTTGGCTATTATATTCTTATTACTAATGTTTTAGTACATTAATAATTGTTGTATATACTCGATTAAATACTCGATTATCGGTGCAGCGAACATTTTGAAAGAGACATGCATTTTAAATTTTTTTTCCTTGCCAACTTTCGTTGGTCGATATTTTAGTGAAGAGTTAGTGTAAGATGGTTGAGATTTGCGGCAGTGTAAGTCTCGAAGTGACTTGTTTTCTTCACCAGAGTTGAGAATACGATAATAAATTTAGCGGATCTCTTAAATAATCAGGAAATTCAGAATTGTCAGATATTTTGCTGAGATAACGGTATCTTGCTGTCAACAACAAAATTTTATTTTACTATTTTATTCTTATTACTCTTGTTCTAGTACATTAATAATTATTTTATAATCTCAAGTTCTTAAGTTTTATTTCATTTGAAAGGTAATGCATTTTATTTCTTAAAAAGAACTTCAAGAGATGCAATTTTTTTGAAAAAAATTATTTTTTCGCTAACTATAAATGAAATTTGTTTAAAAAAAATTGTGGTTAGTGACAGAACTAAAAAATGCACACATCAAGGGACCAATTTGAAACATTAGATATTTTGGTGACAAGCCTAGTGTCAAAATAAAGTATTATTTCGTGAGGTATTGAATATTTTTTCTATTGCTGTATTTTTTCTTACCTAAAAATTTAAATTTTTATTATTTTTCTGAAAATCTAAGAAAATTCTGAAATAGTTAACTGTAATTAGGCAATTTCTTTTTGGTTGCACCATTGGGCAATGTGCCCAGAATGCTCTTTTGTTAATTAGACATTGCAAATAACGTTTTTTTGCTTTAACGTGGCAACTAAGAAATGCAAAATGAAGAGTGAGCTACCCTCCAAAAACACAATCACCTTAAATAAATTTAGCTCTAATAAACAGATTTTCAAGGTTAGTTGAAATGTTTTGAAAGATTAACCTTTAATTAATGCTAACTATTATTTATGATACGAAATCAGAATAAAATTCTTCCTTTTGCTGAATAATCATAGCTTTTATTCGAGAGTTAGGAATCTTTGACTATAAAAATAATAAGAGGTTGATGCAAACTAGTAAATATGGTTTCGAAAGTTAAATCTGGAGAGCGTTCGAAAACTTGGGCCTGTACCCATGCCTTGGAAACTTTCAGTTGAATTGAAGTTTTTGTGCTCAGTTATAAAACTATTTATCTAAATGTGCAAAAAATAATTGTAATGTTTATTTGTTATTTTTTTATTATTTTGGTTAATAACTGCTGAAAAGAATTTGGATAGTAAGTTCTAATTTTCGTTAAAATTATTTTACACTATGTAATTTTCAAAACAAAAAATGTGAATAAAATCCGTCGAAAATTGAATATAATGATTTTTATTTGGAAATATTATGACTCAGATGCATTAGACCAGCTATGCTCGAATTTTATCATTTACAATTTTAATAATATATTTTAAAATGATGTAAAAAGTTATGTAATTTTTTGCTATTATTTTTCGATGTTCGATAGTTAAAAAAAATAATTAAAAAGTATTAAAAAATTGCCAACATTTTTTGATTATTGTTGTATAGATGGGGGATATTATTGAGACCATGTTTTCCAGATAGTGGCTAACTTCTCCCTATTTTTGGGGTAAAAAATTTAAGTGCGTCGAAAAAAAGACATGCTTATTAAGAGAAAATGCACTGTAACAATTGTATAAAAATATCTCTTGTGACGATTTGTAATGCAATTCTCAATTCTTATGATGTGAAATATCTCCTCTTGCATTTGTGATCATCTGTTTTGTAACATCCTGTAGATGAAGTATTTTCAAAATGAAAGAAGCTACGGCATTTATCGCTTATAGTTTTCAAATGCAATTACTGTAAAATATTAATTCCACTATATTCAGGAACAAGTAACATCATTTATTAATGTTATTATTACATATGCATAACAAAACGGAAAATCCAAATTTGGTAGAAACCGGAGTTCATCTTCTTTTATTCATAAAACATCATAAAAGTCCAATAAAATAGAACCTTCAGTAGAAAAAGCAATATTTAGACCATGTAAGGTTAAAACAAAAACGTGTTAGCTTTGTGTAGTACTCCCTTGCTCTAAAAAAACACTGAAACATACTGATTTTGTTTTCATATAGGTTTTAATAGCATACTAACGAGAAAAAAAAGAAGAAATTAATCCTTCAATTTGACAAAGAAACTAAGGTCTGATAATGCACAAAAAATCAAACGGAAATTTAATGACTATTTGTGTTAAATATTCAAATTAATATGTTTATTTTTTAATATACGCCCTAACATTTGGACTTGCTTCAGCAGCATATTTGAATAAAACATTTTCTAAAATCAGAACAATTCAATTGAAATATAATTTTTCTTGCAGAGTTTTTGAACTTCAAGTCATATCTAAACAATAAAATATTGAAAAAAGAAATTTCTTTAGACCTAAAGTACTATATTTGAATTGCAAATGTAAATCTAAAAGAAATGTAAAAGTCGTAGATCCTACCACGTTACTTGGGGTACTTTTTTTTAAAAGGTAAGCTTATTTTTTCAAAAAGCTACTTGTATATGTTTTAAATGTTTCTGAAAGAATTATATATATAGATGGTTGAGATTTGCGGCAGTGTAAGTCTCGAAGTGACTTGTTTTCTTCACCAGAGTTGANTCAATTCAGGCATTTACAGGGCAGATTTGTTGGGCACTCTTCCAGGTGCACCATATCAGGTTTACCAACGTTGCTACCATAGTAAGGACAGATAGTACAGAGAATGAAGGAGCATCCATGCCTTGCCCGGGATTCGAACCCAGAACCATTCCGATGCAAGGCCAGTTCTCTGCTCCTATACAGTCCAGTCCGCTTGTTTTTAAATATCATTTGCGGGATATTAGCTTTTTTTTATTCGCAGAAATTCTAAAAAAACCATATTATCCTAAATAACTTTTAATCTAATTACCAGCGACTAATTAAGTTTTAATTTTATTATCACACTAAGATGCAATTAAAATCATTCAATTATCGTAATTATTTTAATATTTAATGCTATATATTAATGATTTGCGACTTTCTCTGAATAAATATATTTGTTTTCTGACGATTTCTCTTTTGAATAAATTATTTTAGATTATTTGCCCTCTAAGTTGCCACTGGACAATCAAATCTGATAAAAAAATATAATTCCAATAGTTTGGAGAAAGTTTGTTCACATTATTGTTGTTCTTAACTTCTGTATTTTTCAATATGGCTCGATATCAAAACTTTTTTTAAATTTTTATTTTATTTCCGATGCCCACCATTTCGTCAATTCAGCCATTTACAGGACATATTTGTTGGCCACTCTTTCAGGGGCACCATATTAGGTGGGCTAGTGTTGCTCCCACCGTAAGGACAGATAGTACAGAGAATAAAACACCATCCATGCCTTGCCCGGGATTCGAATCCAGAACCTTCCTGATGCAAGGCCAGCTTCTTGACCTCGCACTTTGGGACAAAAGGATGTAAGAAGGGTGATAATGCAAAAAGTTTTGATATTTTTTGTGAGAAAACAAAAACATCTATGAAATAATCTACGCCATCAAATTTAAAATCTTAACTAGGAGTGGAGCGATCTTCAAAAAATAATAAATTCAAAACCTACCTACGAGAGCTAACTGGATGATTTTCAATCCAGCCTTGATGATTGCTTTAGGAATTACAAAACTGACGTTTCTGATGTTCAAAAAGAGGTGCAGAAGGTAGGAAGGTATTTTATTTACGTCGCACTAGAGCTGCCCAATGGGCCATTGGCGACGGTCTGGGAAACATCCCCGAAGATGATCCGAAGACATACCATCACAATTTTGATCCTCTGCAGAGGGGATGGTTCCTCCGCTTTGGTAGCTCCACTAGCTGCACACGAAGTCGAGCACTTTACGGTAGAACAGTTTAACGAAGACTGCACACCCTCGGTTCCTATGTAGGCTGATCGAAGTGGTGACCCATCTGCTTACTGATCGCAGCCAGTGATGCTTGACTTCGGTGTTCTACTTACTGATTATGATAAGATTTACTGTGTTTCTGGCGTTATGGGAACACCAAAAAGCTCAGTCATTTTTTCCCGAAGTGTTTTGGTAATGATTTTTGTAAAATTAATAGTAAAATACACTAAAATATGGTTTCATAATGTGTGATAAAATTTTATAATGTGGTAAAACTTATTAATTTTATCATAATATATTAGAGCATGACTTAAAAACCATTTATTTGGTATAATTTGCTTTTCAGTTTTGCAATTTTTACTATATGTGTGATAATGTGGTATTAAGAATTATAATTTTGAATACCAGAGTTTCCGATTAACCGTTACCATATGAACGGAAAAAATTACCAAATGAATGGTTTAAGTTCCATATATTTTGATTTAACTAAGATTTTTTTTAAAAAAAAATCCCAGAAATATCATTTCCATAGAGTACTATAACTTTACCGATTTTTTTCCCTGTGAAGCAGGCAAAATTTCAGTATTTCGGAGTTTGATTGTTGAGTTACGCTTGGGGAGTCTCACTTATAAGTGCATGAACTTTAAAACAGGGAATAAAATAAATGAATAAAAAATAGAAAAATAATGGAAGGAAATAATGTATTTACAGGAAGTGAAAAATTCGTATACTCTTTGTCATAACTTTTACATAATTATAAGCAATCATATCATTTTTACATCACTACTCTTATTTGCCTTCAATATTTTTTACATCACTACTCCTATATGCCTTCAATATCCTTCGAGGGGACATGTACATGTAGTGTAGAAAATTTATTTATAAATTATCTTGTTAATGTTTTATGTAAACTATTAAATTCAAATTTGCACCCAAAAAAATTTATTATTTTTAAACAAAGAACTAAACCTTAGCAACATCTACCTTAAGACCAATTTTTTAATTAATTTATGCTAATGTTTTTTTTTGTTAAAATTTTTTTTCATTCTTTAGACAGAACCACATTCTAAAACTTTTTTTAATACGAATACTCATTGAAACATTTTGTTCAAAGTTAGTATTTAAAAAAGGAAAAAAAAGTGTTATGTTGTAGAAATATTATATATTAATGAAGAATGCCCCAAAATTTACGCTAGATTTGAACTAAATAGAAAATTAATTTAGTGCTGGCAACCAAAAAAAGAAAAAAAAACAGTTTAGACAGATGACAGTTTAGAGTAAGTAAAAATGCAACACTACAGTTAAGAACTGGGAAAAAAAACTGTGTTTTCTATTTACTTCAAATCTTGCCTAAATTTTGGGACTCCCTTTATAATAACGTTTACAATTTACCAAGTATTAGAACACTTTTTATGCAGTTCATATTTTAAAATTAAAATTTTTTATTTGATTTCATTTTTTCGGTGCTGAATTTCGATATGGGTGTACGATAAATATATTTATTTTGAATCAATTGTGATATGTTTCTTAAAATATAAAAGTTCAAAAACAAAAACCAAACATGAAGTCATTAGTCCAAAAACTAATATCATAAAAGCACCAATCAATTCCTGAAGAAGTAATGGTTTAATTTTGTCCTCGACAAATGTAGTATTGTTAAACGTGCCTAAGAATGATTTCAAAATTTCATCTTGTATAAATTTGTTGTACAAACCACTTTCAACGAGCCTGTATAAAATGTCATCCAATTTTTTTCTACAGCAGAAGTTCTTGTTCGTAGCTATTGCTATAAGCATTGCTCCCATCGAATCTTGCGAAATGTACATATCTGGTCTTAGTCTAAAATCTTTCTCCAAAACTGCTCTGAGATTTATCTGTGCACTTCCTGCATTCAAAGCCTGCCCATTTGGCAGAACGAGACTTGAGTTTAGGTTTAGCTGTGCCATCCAGTCGTTTCGGACGATTAACTCACCGAGTTTTTTTATGTGTACATCTTCAGAATTTAATAACATCCAAGCAGTAAGAGTTCCTTTCATGGTATAGCAATCAAATTTGCCATTGATAACAGCCTCAGATAATTGCCTGAAGCTTTTTATTAGTTCACCTTCTATTGGTAAAGTTAGAAAGGATAGCATGACTGCAGAATAAGAGCAAGATATCATAAATGCAAAGAGTAACCAAGTTGCCTGTATGATTCGATTATACCATGGTTTGTGTGCGATTTCTGAGGGCTGCTTTAAAATATTTCCCATTGTATTTAACCACAAATACATGTATGAGTTAGTTGACAGGAATATTCGAATTAAAAGAGGATATATGATTATAAAGGCAATGCAGATGATCCAGATGTTCAGCGAAAATGGCAGCAGAAACACGAAGCCTTTTGATATCATACCTGGTTTTTTCACTACAAAAGTTGTATCGGTGATTGCGTATGTCCTGCTGAAATCAACGGCTTTCATCCTTTCAGATGATTGTGAAATCAAAGACATTGCAATATCTGCTTCACCTCTGTGAACCATTCCGATCATTCCAGTCCAGTTGCCGTCTTTTTTTAAAGAACCCCATTCGAGATCGAGAGGAATGACCACGTCTGGTACTGCATGTAACGCATCTAATATTGCTTTTAGCATTCTACCTTCGTAACCAAGAAATTCTACTTCACCAGCTGAAGTTAAAGATAATTTTAAACTCCCGAATTCTACAACAGCAACTTTGAGAAACTCTCGAACTGCCATTTTTATTAAACACTTCTTAATCTTCTTTTAAAGAACAGGAAGTTACTAGAAGACTATTCAGAACAGAAACAAAAAAAATATGAACAGATACTCAGAATTTAACAACAAGAAATAGTCAGAATAAAATAGCTTCTGGTGAATTGTCCCAAAATTGCTCTGCTTCCTAAATTTGCTTAATTGTTTCATATTATTTGAATCACGTTTCAAATTCCATTAAGACTGATCATTCATACTTTCATGATGAGCTTTTAGAATAGATAATTACAACAACAATGCATCGTTATTAATCGATAAAATGGTGTACGTGCAATAGTAATGAGTTTAGTAACTTTTGTGAATGTATACTAATTTTGTCATGTTCTCAGTCTTACAAAACTCGCAATTTAAGTTGAAATTGTCATTCGTGAGCTTGTTATTTTGTAACTGAAAGCTGAAGTTTAAAGCATTTAAATTAGAAGTGATCACGATTTTCGTATTTAGTTCAGATTACTTAAAATAAGAATCTAAAATATAGTCGGGTAGTTAGATATAAGTATGTAGTATTTCAATGTAATTACAATGATTGAAGTTTCATTTTTATTTCTAGGCCTGGATTTCAATGATATTTTTTCTATTTCTTAACTTGTTATTTTCAGAATTTGTTATTTTCAAATATTTTTTCCTAAACATATTAAAATATTGCATAAAGATAAAAATTAATAGTAAATAAAACGGATATGATGCAACTATTATGTAATTACGTGTGTATGCCTGTTTCTTTTAAATAATATTTAATTGCCTTTTTTAGAATGATACAGTCATAAATTTAAAGAATAATTTCCTCTTAAAATGTATGGAACACAGAACATGCAATCATTTCTCAAAAGTGTCCACGCACTTTATAAGAATTACACTAGATTTTATTATGTAATTCTAAATTTATTGGAAAAAAGGTCGTAAATAAAATAATTTAAAACTTGATTAATCTTAAATTTGAACAAAAAGATTTGAAAATGTTGTTAACATAAGGTGAAAATGTTATTTCAAAAGCTTATGCTTTTATAAATTTATATTAAAATTTTTGTCGAGAAAATCAGAAAATAATTTTGCCTAATAAAAAGAACACATTTAAAAATATAAAGCTTATTGAGATATTTTAATAGAATTATAATTTTTCTGGTAAACGTATTATCAGATCTTAACATAGAACAAAATGGAAATACAGTTACCATATGACTTGGTTGTACTTTTAATGTTTAAAATAAATTTGAAGTTAAAGAAATGTGTACTGAAATGAACTTAATATGGGTAAGAACCTGATTTTAATTTATCTTCAAATCTATTATTATTCGTTTTGGATAATATATATAAACTGTAAAAAGAAAAATTTCGAAAACAATATTATTGTGAAGCAGTAATTATTATTGTGACAGTAAATCAAACGTTGAAAGTAGCGTAGATTAATGTTTGTACGCTGTAAAAAATTCCCGATAAAATCACTGTAAAAAGTACTGCAACCTGAGTGTCGGTACTTTTCACCGCAGAATCCATTTTTATCGTAAAATTTTGCGGAATAAAAGAAAAAAAAATTGATAATCGTAATTTTTACAGTATTATTTATTGTACAATCACGGAAACACTATAATTTAATAAATATCACTGTGATAATTACAGTACAAAATTTTACGGTAAATTGGACTCAAGGGGCCGGTGCTTTTTGCTGTAATATCATCCGTATTTTTTCACAATGTGAAGAATGATGTCAACTTTCAGTCAGTTTTAAAAACATTACGATGATTTGAAGCAATGCACACTGAAACCCGTGTCGTTACAGGGTTAACTTGCTGACTTGTTTATGTTCCTTGGTCTCAATTCTTGGTGGGGTTTGATTCGATGTACACTTGTACTTTATTCATTTTTTCCATAGTATATTTTTGCTCTATATTTTTTAATTTGCGTTTTACTGTAATTTTTTGAAGGTAAATTTCTCTTCAATTTTTTAATATTTTATTGTAACTATATAAATTCGCAAATTTTGAATTTACAGTAAAATGTACAGATTTCCTGAATACCTGTATTTTCTCAGTAAATTTTAATTTACTCCCATAATAAGTTTATTTCTAATTTATTCCTATTTAATTTATTCCTACAATATGAATAAGTTAAATAGTGTCAAATATGTGAAGTAAAGAGTTTTATAAATAAAAAAAATAGTGCATGGAGTCTCTCCACGCGGAAGAAGTTAAACTTCGCAACCTGTGACGTTAATAGTAGAATCAGCAGTCGTAGAAGGATCACGAGTTCTATTCAACGACTCTTTTTCCTGCTGCTTCCGTGCTCTGTAATCACGGTAATATTGTGCATTTTTCCCTCGTGGACCTCTAACCAGTGGAAGTGCTTGTGGTTGCCTCATTGTCTCGCCCTGGAAAATGTATTTGTATTAATAATGTATGTGAATGTGTCATAATGTAATTTCAGAAGAGAAAACCNTGTTTTGAATTCTTAGAATTTTGTGCATTTGCAATGTACCTAAGTTAGTAGTGAGCGAAGCGAGCTTGGTTTGCGAAGCAAATCATATAAGATTGCGTAGCAATTTTCGGGGGTTGGCGATCGTTAGGGAGCAGGGGGCGCAGCCCACTAGTTTAATTTATTCCTATAATATGAATAAGTTGAATTGTCTGGAATGTGTGAAGTAAAAAGTTTTATAAATAAAAAACGAATATTCTAGCACTCAGGAAATCTTTTTTATCTAACTGAGAAATTGATTATTTTTATTTAATGGGCTTCAGTTTTCCAGAAACAAATTTTATTTAGAAAACAATTTTAAACATCATTTGCTGACTCAAAAATATTTGATCATTATCATAGCTGTAAAATCTTGTTTAAAGTAAAATCAGAAAACATTATAAGCACATAAAATTCTCCTAAACATTTAAATTTCATTAAACTCGATTATTAGATTTTCTTTAAAAATTGATAATGCTTTATTTGATAAAGACAAGCAGAGTACATTTATCAAAAACATAGAAATCAAAGCATTTTTAACCTGTTTTTTTAAATCCTTATTTACAATGTTTCATTTCGAAACAAACATTCTGTCGGGAGTTCGTAAACTAAATCGATGAAAACTAAATCATGATCTTATTAAGACTCAAAGACTTCAACTATATCGCATGACTAAAGCTTTTTGTTCAATCTAATCACGGCAATTGGTTCCCGTTGCTCCTAATCATGCTTCCTCTTGGGAAATTAAACGATAAATATTACTCAGTCTAAGGATTTTGCACAGAGTTGATCAAGTATTTAGTAGATATATTGTTGCACAGATTGTCGTCGAATTTTCTTTTGAATCTGAATTCAATTAGGAAGAGAAAAATACTATTTATTTAACTAAGTGTTATTTCCTTCAAATTGGAGTAAATTGCTGATTTAGGATGATTGTGTTTTTGGTATATACTGCAGGGAAAACTCTTAATTTTTATTTTTTTGTGATATAAATTGATGCAATATATAAAATTTACTTCAATAAAAAGCTTTATGTGTGAATAAATCACTATGTTCCTTTTACTAAAAATACAAGTTGAGTTATTAAATAGGCTTTAGTAATAAAATATCAGTTGTTTACAGCAGGGAATAAAAAGTGTCTTTTCATTTATTTATTATATTAAAAGTGACTAGGCATACGCGACTAATAACGATCTAACTATTAACGCTATTAGTTAGTTCAACTATGCTAAATAGATATAAATAGTTATCACATAGTCACTTTTAAGTAGAAAATGATACTTCACTAATGTTAAAGATTGAGCCACTGCTGCTCAGGGGATAGATCATTCGCCTACCAAAAAGGTGACCCAGGTTCGAGTCTCAGCTGTTATTGGTTGATACGAAATCTGCTCCCGGTTCTCACAGATCAATATGCTGATGTACATTACCATAGTGGTAGACAAATCATGATTTAGAATCCTCTTGACAGTGGGCTAATCTTAAAATGTTTTCGTGGTTTTCCTCTCCACGTAGCACAAATGAGGGTTAGTTCCATCAGAAAATCCCCAAGGAAGGCTAGGTTTATCTCAATACTTAATCCGAAAGTTCCTTTGTCTTCTGAGTTGGATTGAAAAATTGCAAAGCTACAGAGTTGAACTTTGATAGTCGTAAGCTTGGAATTCGGACTACTGTTCAACACTGGTTATAAAATGTTAAAAATTGAAAAAAAGAAGAAAAATTCAGGCACTTAATTTAATTTTTTTCTAAGTGTTTCTACTAATAATACTTTAATGAACATTCTTTACCTTTTAAAGGTAAAATTTATTTAAAAGTCACTTAATTTGCACTTTTTTTTAGATTAGTAAGACTAAATTGATAAACAGAGGATCTAATAGTAAAGAATAACATACGATAGATATAACAGATATTGTATTATACTTTATATAATATTTACATTAATACGAAACGATTTACTTTATGCTGTATAAAATCGAAACAATGTAAACTAAGAACAAATAATATTATATTAACATACTTCGATCGTTTCGGTGTTTTAGTGAAGAACATTTTTTACAAACACGCACAAACTTTTTTATAAAACACAGTGTCGAAATACAGAATTCATTCACACATTCCGTGCTTTGACACTTAAGAATACATTTATCATAGAACGATACTTTCATTATAGAATGGAAAGGATGGATTATGTGACATTATTTTTTTCTCTTTTCATATTGATTGACTCCATTTATTGTACCGCAGAATGTTTTAAATACTTTTTGTATGGAAAAAAGATATTAGATCAAATTGAGTTACAGATACCCAAATTTTTTTTAAAAAAATCGATCAATAGAGAAATAAAAAAAAACCTGCATGACAATGTTTGCAGATACATTCATAACTGATAGGTGATAATAAATTATATTATTTTGTCTTTGAGGAATAATGCTATATTAATCTATCATTACCTTCAGCGACTAGTTTTTTTTTATTTATCTTGTTCTCAAAAATCAACGTCAAGAACAATATAAAAAGAATTATAAAAAGTAAACGATTCAGTAATTATTAAATACAAAAATACTTTCACAAATCAGTTAAGTGTTCCTCTAGTAGTAGTAAGGTTAACTTATTATTGGTCGATGAGTTAAGCATTTTCTGTTTTAATATTTAATATAATTTCC